AAAAGATCACCATGTTCATCACATTTAGGAGTCCAAGAAAGGTACTAAACAACCCAGAACTTGGTTGGTCTGCAGAGAAGCAGGTATCGGAAGGCTTGGATGATACACGAACTGGACTTTAACCTGTGTACCTATTTCCCTACGGAGAGAGAGGAAAGTTAATTGAACCTTTTTGGTACTTGATCTTTCCATAGGGAGCAGTTGAAAAATACATGCAAATATGCTTTAATGGCGAAAGCGATGATAAACCTTGACAGCATCTTAAAAAGCAGAGACATCACCTTGCCAACAAAAGTCCGAATAGTCAAAGCTATGGTTTTTCCTGCCGTGATGTATGGAAGTGAGAGCTGGACCATAAAAAAAGGAGACCGCCGAAGAATTGATGCCTTTGAATTGTGGTGCTGGAGGAGACTCATGAGAGTCCCCTGGACTGCAAAGAGATTAAACTTATCCATTCTGAAGGAAACGAACCCTGAGTGCTCACTGGAAGGACAGATCCTGAAGCTGAGGCTCCAGTACTTTGGCCATTTCATGAGAAGAAAAGACTCCTTGGAAAAGACCCTGATGCTGAGAAAGTGTGAAGGCAAGAGGAGAAGGGGATGACAGAGGATGAGATGGTTGGACAGTGTCATCGAAGCGACCAACATGAATTTGACCCAACTCCGGGAGGCAGTGGAAGATAGGAGGGCCGGGCGTGCTCTGGTCCATGGGGTCACGAAGAGTCGGACACAACTAAAAGACTAAACGACGATGCTTACTGAAATATGTATATTAAAAAACATGTACCAAAAATGTGTATTTGGAGAAACATGTACAAGGTATGCACACATTTCCATGTGGGGGAAAAAGATAAAAGCCTCACAACCCAGCGTGGAACCACGACAGGACGGGCATGCTCCCCGTCTAGGACATAATGACACAAGTATCCACATGCAATGGAATTTTCCTAGCTATGTAATATTTAGAAATGACAACTGCTGAATTCAGGACTCCTCCCTTAGTAGCAGTGCAATCCTAGAAGGAAGTTCCATTGAATTTGGTGGGGTTTACTCAAAGTTAAATAAATACTGGATTGCAACCTAATTGCATTTTCAATTACAGGCTTAAACTGGATTAATAAAATGTTGCAACTCCCATGTCCCTGTAACTAAAAGTTGCAACAATAGTGTTGCAACTCCTACATCACTGTTAACTAAGTCCCATTAGGAAGAGTGGCTCTTTTTCATACTTGCTATGTCACGTCAAGCTTTCAACTTATGGCAACTTAAATTAGTAACATCCCTGATTCCTATATCTGTGAAGATTCTCAGTCATCTAGGTGAGGTTGTCTGGAAGTTGAGTCATGGCAACTGGACTTCTTTCTTATTAGGTTGAAACTTGAAATGTTTCACTGCTCATCCAAGTAGAAGTAGCTACTTGGATAAGTAGCAAAACATTTCAAGAATGAAGTCCAGTTGCTATGATTCAGCTTCCAGGTCCCAAAGTTCTGTGGAGATACCCTGGTCTGCCAGAAAGATGAACAAGTGGATCGTAGGTCAAATCAAGCCTGAACTATCTCTGGAGGCAAAAATGATGAAACTGAGGCTGTCCAACTTTGGGCACGTCATAAGATCGAAAGATTATCTGGAAAAGGGAACAACGCTGGGAAAGGTGGAATGCATCAGGAAAAGAGGAAGACCAAATTCAAGATGAATTGACTCACTAAAGGAATCACAGACTTTACAAGAGCAGAACAGGGTTGTTCAGAGCAGGACATTCTAGAGATGTCTCATTCATGGGGTCCCTGGAAAAGACCCTGATGCTGGGAAAGTGTGAGGGCAAGAAGAGAAGGGGACGACAGAGGATGAGATGGTTGGACAGTGTCATTGAAGCAACCAACATGAATTTGATCCAACTCCGGGAGGCAGTGGAAGACAGGAGGGCCTGGCGTGCTCTGGTCCATGGGGTCACGAAGAGTCAGACATGATTTAATGACTAAACAACATTCATGGGGTCACCATAAGTTGGGGAGGAACTAAGTGATGCAGGAGTTAGTTCACCTGCTGGCTCCTGCCATCCCTTCACTTGATATTACCAGACCTCCTAATGGCTCACATTAAAAGGAAGCAGAAAGCCACTATAAAATATAAGTAAAATGCTTTAAAAGTAATGAATAAATAAACAGAACAATTTAAAACTTTCAGAATACAAAAAGGGAGAATACGTGTAAACATATTCAAAGAGCTCTCATATTAAAATTCAGCTGCTGCACTTGTTCTCTATGACTGCCCAGCAAAAGCAAAGTTCACACACAAGGGAATGTGTATTTAGCCAGTGTTCATATTATCGTCTGCCCTGTACTGCAGTCACTTTCACTGCTGAAATGACAAGTGTTTTCCAGTACATTCTTAACATGTGGCGGAACATACAAACAAACAAAAAATCTGATCTTTGTCTTTGTGCTCCTGTCCTACAGAGCCTGGTTTTCATCAAGGTTATAATGATTTTGGATGCAGCACTACAAGCCTTCTGCATTGAATGCATTCTGTGATTTCATTGTTGTTTCTTCATTGACTTTAACACTTCTTCAAGTATCAAGAACATCCAAGATATTGCACTTCAAATGTTTCTGCCTTTTTGATAGTAACCCATACTAAAGTCTATAACTCCTTGCTAGACACCTTATCATAACCTCAGGGCCTACCTGAAAGTATGCTCACTGCATGATCCAAGGCGGCCGTGGATCACATTTTGAGAAATACTAGCCAGAATCCTACTAGTGATATTTTTTGTGTGTAAGTGAAATTGTATACATCACAGGGTTGAATGGTTGATAATTATTAAGATGCCTGTTGCATTCTTGATTACATATATGCTGTGTAACTGGATACATGACCAGCAACTTGTAGAAGAAATTTGTAGCCACAACTTATGAGACTTCCCTAATATACTCATGAATCACCAGTAAATTCTAGTCGTCTGCTTCCAACAATGTGCTGTAGAGGTTTGAGTTATCAGCTGAACTGGGACTGTTTGGATCCAAGCTCAGACATCCAATGCTCTATGGAGTCTTACCAAATAGCCTTGTTCTTGGTCAATCATTATCATCTTGGTCTCCCTCAGGGGGTTGTTGTGAGATTAAGCACAGAGAAAGGAAGCCATGAGTTGAGGAAAGATGGTATAGCCATGTACCTTGCCATAGTTTGCTGTGGCCCACACAGTCAAAGGCTTTTGCATAGTCAATGAAGCAAAAGTAGATATTTTTCTGGAACTATCTGGCTTTCTCCATAATCCAGCGCATGTTAGCAATCTGGTCTCTAGTTCCTCTGCCCCTTCGGAATCCAGCTTGTACTTCTGGGAGTTCTCGGTCTAAATTCTGCTGAAGCCTGCCTTGGAGGATTTTGAGCATAACCTTGCTAGCATGTGAAATGAGTGCAATTGTACAGTAGCTGGAGCATTCTTTGGCACTGCCCTTCTTTGGGATTGGGATGTAGACTGATCTTTTCCAATCCTCTGGCCACTGAGTTTTCCAAACTTTCTGGCATATTGAGTGTAGCACCTTAACAGCATCATCTTTTAAAATTTTAAATAGTTCAGCTGGAATGCCATCACCTCCATTGGCCTTGTAGTTAGCCATGCTTTTTAAGGCCCACTTGATTTCACTCTCCAGGATGTCTGGCTCAAGGACAGCAACCACACTATCTGAGTTGTCCGGGACATCCAGATCTTTCTGGTATAATTCTTGCCACCTCTTCTTGATGTCTTCTGCTTCTCCTACCATTTTTGTTCTTTATCATGTCCATCTTTGCACAAAAGTTTCCTTTAATATCTCCAATTTTCTTGAACAGATCTCTGGTCTTTCCCTTTCTGTTATCTTCCTCTATTTCTTTGCATTGTTCATTTAAGAAGGCCCTCTTGTCTCTCCTTGCTATTCTTTGGAAGTCTGCATTCAATTTTCTGTAACTTTCCCTATCTCCCTTGCATTTTGTTTCCCTTCTCTTCTCTGCTATTTGTACCTTGCCACAGCTGTGGATTAAACCCTCCTTTTTCCTTGAAATATTCAGTACTTTGAGATTAGCAATGCAATTTTAGCAGACCGTTCTTACCAGCTCCTCCTGAGAAGTCCTATTGAAATCAGGTCATTGGGACTTACTCCCTGTTAAAGGTGCAAGCTTGCAGCTTAAATCCCCGGTACCTCACCGTTCAGAGAAAGCCAGTTAATGGTAGGATGAGACTTTGGTTTTCAGCGGGGCCGCACTTTTTCTTAAGAGTGTCACCTTGCGAACTCTTACACATTTAAGAGGAAACCACATATCGTAGTGAAGACTTGCTCCCGAGTAAACAAGAATGTCCACTAAGAGGGAACCTAGAGGGGGTCTGAGGAAGGGTCTGGCACGCGGCGCCCGTCTCGGAGGAGGGGAAGGACCGCAATTCGCGGCGTGCGCTTCTCCCAAAGACGCGCGCAGAAGGGTCGCCGCCGGCTCACGCAGCCTTTTGCCTCCCGGAGAATAATCCGGCGTTTGGCCTCCGAAGAACGTATTTACGCTTCTGAAAGCAGGAGACTGGTCGGAAAATAAAACTTTTATTTTTAAAAAAGGAACAAGTATTGTAAAAGTAAAAAAGGCTAAACCTGAAAATACTTTTTCCCTCTTTTTTGGTCTCGCGTATTTTCTAGGCCATAAACCAAGCTGAATGAAGTGCGGCTTCTTTTTTTGAGAAACCGTCGGGCATAAAGCGGAGCGCCCATGAGCGCCGAGCCGACGCTTTGGAAGGGCTCCAGCTCCGCGCCTGGGATCCACCCACTCCGGGTTTTCCGCCCAGCCCTCCCTTGCCCAGGGAGTGAGCCTGCAAATCGGGTTGCCGCCGTCGTTAACTCCCTGTGCCCCCCCCCTTTTGCCAGGCTTCCTCCGCGGCTGCGCTTGTCGGCCACCCCCCCGGCGGGGCCCCTGCTCCCGTCCCTCGCGCTCGCCGCTCCTGGGTTCTCCGGCGTGCGGGACACCTTGGCATTGTGGAAAGGGGCCGGAGAGGGCTCGGACGCCAGGAGGAGGGCTCTGCGAGCAACGAGCCGGCGCGCCCGCCGCGAGAGCCACGCCGAGAGGAGCTCGGCCGCGATGAGAGCGCAGCAGCCGCCGCGGTTCCTGCTCTGACTCGGCGGCGGCTGGGCTTTCGAATCAACTTGGGCGAGCGAGGCGCTACACGACGCCGCCTGCCTGGCTCTGGGCGCGGAGGAGGAGGACGAGGACGAGGAGGAGCAGGGCTCCGGCGGCAGAGGCGCCCCTCGTCTCCCGACCGCTCTCCCGCCGCCTCTTGGGGTTCGGAGGTGGCACAGATCCGCGTCTCCCAAAGCGTGGCTGCAAGAGGAGGAGGAGGAGGAGGAGGAAGGAAAGTCTCGGGGCTCCGGGTGGGGAGGCTGGAGTTTTGGAGGGCTTGCAAGAGGACGAAGCAGAAGAAGAGGCGGACGCCTCCGGAGCGGAGAAAACGGCGGAGGCGAAGGAGGCGACGAGGAGCGGGAGACGCGGACGCCTTCGCCCCGGCGCGATGCCGCCTTCTGCCCGGAACCGAGGAGTTTCTGGCCGGGGGATGCTCCTCGCCTTGCTCGTGGCGGTGGGCGTCTGCAACCTGAGAGTGTGCCACGCAGGTGAGCCCCTTTCCGCGCGCGCCCGGCTTGGCT